TATGCGTGTTAGTGTGTTACAGTCGACATACATTGTTAAAGACAAATATTTGGATGTGGGAGGGTGCGAAATGGGTGTTATTACACAACGAGGAGCTTTGTCGTTTATGCAGTTCGCTTGTTGTCGTTAATTAAAGGAGATTGCAGTAGGCTTGGCTTATCTTGAAACTGCTTAAACAGTTTTAATGGCGTAACTTCCTAGAATATCAAAATTCGGAATGAGGATGATCTTAGGGTAACGGGTTATCAAAATGCGGACGAAACTGGCTAATCTAGTCAATTGCACTGCAAATATCAGACACTGCTAGAGGATCTGAGGTCTTCTCAGCGATGTTGATATTGACAAGCGATCTCTTGGGTTGTTGCGCCATCGGCTGTGTGGAATTCGGAATGGGCAGGATTGTCAGGGAAGCAACAGAGCTTGGCCTTCATCCTACCGACATGAACAGATAGGGCGGATTCTCACTTAGCAGGGTATAGAAGCCCTTAATCCACACGCTGAAAGAATGAAAAAAGTTTGATATTATCAAAGACTGCAGGACGCGTTGAACTCGCAGACCAATCCAGTTCGTAGAAAAAGTCATTACCGTGTGCCGGTTGTGTCACCAAATTCCAACCCCATCTCTTTTACTGTTTAATAAAAGTACAGTGTAAGAATGTTGTGTAGACGAGAGTATTTACCCAAAATATTAGAAAAGTTCACCATATATTTTTACGGGGTTGAAAATTATGATTGTAGTTGTCTGGGATATGACGCCGTGCATTCTTTCATATGTCGACAAAAATTCGGAGGAACATGTCGCCTCCATCTTTTCTTCGACATTCGTCGTCGTGGAAATAATGACACGGCGTCCAAAGCACGTTTTGGGAAACTCGTGTCAACTTGATTTATATTTTATTTAGTGTTCTGTCTGGCGACAGGTCCATATGAACAGGATCCTTCCATCCTCTTCTCGGACTGGGACCTGTTCATATACGTTCTTGGCAGATGATCCAGAAGTGGTTTGCCATTGCCTTCTTCTGTGTGTGAATGAAGTAATTGTTGGGATGCCACGGAGAAACCGGGGAAGCCCCCGGAGGAAAACTCCGTGTTGCCTAGACCACGGCCTTGCCCAACACAAGTTATAAATTCGGGCACCGCCGGGAATCGAACCCGAGACCCCAGGATTACAAGGCCAGCGTTCTAACAGCTAGACAACTTGATTAGAATTTAATAATGGAATGTCAAGATGTACATGGGCATAATGGAATACGCATCTGTCAATCTTTTCTTATAAAATTAATTAACATGAGGCGTAATTTTAAAATAAATCAAACTGGCATCATTTATATTTTTTCGTTGACGTAAATGCAGTCCAAAGTGTTATCATCTCACTGTGAAGTAAATAACTCTTAGCTGAGTGTACGTGTTTTATGATAAGCAAGTTAATAGATGCGTATTTTGGGTTTCGTAGCAACATTAAGAAGGGTGGGTATATTGCTGGCTAGAAGTGTTTTTTTTTTGGGGGGGTTTACAAGATCACGAGTTGTTATACTAGGGTAGATTGGAGTGAAATCCTACCTTCTTTTACAACTTGGTGTTTAAGTCACGTATATTCTAGGAAATGGCTAGAACTTTAAAATTGCAAACGTCTGGTTTATCCCTGCATCTCGTATTATTGCTAGTTAAATGGGGAATGACGAGTGTAAATACAGGACCACATATAAAGGAAGACGCTCCAAATGTCATTTATGATAATCGGCTGTAATTTATCCAGAAATGTAGAAGGAGATAGAATTGCAGTTCTGGATATTCTATCTTATGCTTCCTAAATGGTGGTTTTGTGGCCGTTTGAGTAAGTGATGTACATGCTTCTTGAACAGCTTACTTGTTACATGGGAATGCAGATTTTGGTGCCTTGGATGAGACTTTAAACTGCGTCATTTAAATTCAGCGTATTCCAACGGTCTCAGACCAGTTAATTTAAATGTTCTTTATACATTACGTTTCAGTATGTTCAGCGCCGCAGGGGAAATTGAATTTTACTACGTGCTGCTGTGTGAGGCGCGACCAAAGCATTAGGTAGGCCGCACACCGGCATGCGTCAAGGCATGTAACAGTCAAGACACGATGTCTGCGACATGACGCAAAGAAAGGAGCACAGTTGAAACGAATGAGATTATGAAAACCGCCGCACACCGGTCTGAGTCATGATGTTGACGTCAGCTTCATGCTGCAGACACGTGCAGCGAGACTCGGATTGTTCCTTTTCTGTGCGTCAGGACTGAGACATCAGTACTCAAGTAACAGGACCAGTGTACGTTATCGACATGAGTGAAGAATAACAAATATTAAGATAGTGCAGACGGTTGAGAAATTCCCGGTAATATACGATTATTCGACCCCGGGCCACTCAAACAAGGAGGAGGTTGATAAAGCTTGGCATGCAGTTTCAAAAGAAGTAAACGTTGATGGTAAGTGCACTGAATAATTTTATTTTAATGAGCTGATGACTGAATTAACTATTATACACATTGAGCATAAGCTCGTTTCGTACAAGTCTGCTCTCACTCACACATAAAACGAAAAGATTTATTTTAAAGTGTACTTGTTCTGCCAATGAAGAGCTACGTTTGGTTTCAGAAAGTAAGAACACAAATGGTTCCTCATTTCAACGGCCTCAGTAGTTGCTCTTCTGCAGCAGGGCTGGAATATAGATTCACAACTGCCTTTGTCATGGTCATCATCATCTTCACCCAGACTCTGCTCGCTAAATAAGCCGTCCTTTAACCTGATGAAGTTATGGAGGACACAGATTGCCCGTATTATATTGTCTGTTTTATTAGGTTTACACGCTATAGCCGTTCCAAGAATCAACTAGAGAAGATATGATAGGACGCAGACACTTGCTGCTTCGGTGTGCGGACTCGAGTTTGAATCACGAATGAAGCAAAACTGCGTCTTTTGTCTCATGTCTTGATGCTTGTCTTGACGCAGTTGGTGTGCGGCCGCCCTTATGCGTAAAAATTCTGTGTTTTGTGTTTATTTTCAGACATGCTATTGTCCAAAGTACTACTTGAGAAGAAAAAAGTAAGCAAGCCTTAGAAACAATTCTACGCCTTTTGTGGGCCTCGAAGGTTCATTTTCGTGTTCAGAAGAGCCGGCCGTCGGTTTGTATTTAATCGAACGGTGTAGTTCCATAAATAATGTTAAGATACTTGCATAGGATATACCTCAGACACCATTGCGAAGTTAGGAAAGCCGTTCAGCCTTACAGCACATTCCGTTACAGAAACAGAGTCACGTTTAATCCGTGAAGTAGGCCCAATAGGCCAAGTTTCTTCAGTAACTTTGTTCCGGTTACTTTAGACGTTCGGCTGTAGGATTGATTCGTAGAAAGTTTTCACAGACGTCGCTTAATTTCCCTTCAGCCAGAATGCCAGACAGACACCAGGAGTTACCTCACTCCTGTGATTGAATTTGTTCTTGGTTCTGGACACTTCAGCACGAACATTATCTGGCCGTTTGATCATCAGGGCAAACGAGATGAACAAAGCTTGTGTTGCGATAGTAGAGGCACATGCAAAGTTCACGCCTCTCATATTGTCTGACACACTGGAAAATGGACAGTTCTTTTTAACCCTATTAGGAAGCTTGTGTCTGTCTGTCTGTCTCGTGTTTTATTCACCGATATAATAAACTTCATAATTTTTCGTAAAATATGTCACATCACACCATGCATGCATGCCATGCGTTTATTTACACTATGTTCTCAAAAGAATTTTTGATAATGCGACTATGTATGTGCTTTCTACAACGTGTTTCAGCTTAATTAGCCACTCTGAGGGAGAAATTGAATATTTTATAACTTGACGTATATGACCTGTATGAATGCCATTTGAAACCAGGGGATTTAAATTCTGCTTATTTTCGTGTCAATAATTACTACCGACATGCTGACATGCGAGCTTCGGAAATAAACGAAAGAACACTGTGGGCATCTAAGTGCTGTAGATTTCATGAGAACCCGATGGTCACGGTTAACACAAAACTCTTTAAACGACTGAGCGCAATTTTTAAAAATGCGCGGTAAAAACTTGTTCTTTAAGATACGGTACACGTAATTGCTCCCCCGCTGTGGGTTCATAACTTAACAGAAATTACTTCTATCAAGGGAAGCCATGGCCTGTCTCGAGATTAAACTGGCGCCATGCACTAGACAGCGTTTTATTTCTCGTTGAATTAAATGTCTTCTATCAGAAGGATGTCTTGAGTAGACGCCTGTAGAACGTGATTACCCTCAGCTTTCTTGTTGTGAAGTGGCTGTACGTGCTCACCCCATTCACACGAAGGACAGTTTCACAAGTTCCCCTTGATCTGTTGACACTCTCAAAATCGAGGGCAATTTCATCTTTTACTGCAGAGCGCCTCTGCTACTCGGAGAATATTCTTCCCGCACTGAGTCATAACTCTGTGGGTTGGCCATGAATGATGCCTTGGTAGCTTCACATGCAGCAATCTCTTGGGTATAAAATAAAACTGTTTTCACGGAGCCGTAGTAAAACATTCCGTCCGTTAAATCAGCAGAGAGTGTAGGCTGACCTATAAACTGACTGGTCAACGGGACGAAAGCAATTACAGGAATGCAGTTTGTCTGCAGGCAGCTGGAGTACTGGTGAAAGAAAGGGCACCGACGCGTATGAGTCAGGCACACTATTCGTCAATAGATCTGGCTGGCACTAATTAAGTAGTTCTCTTTCCGTTTACACGATTGGGTTGCTGAAGAGAGGGAAAACAGTTGATGTACACTGAACCGGATGATGTATTAGGAATTGCTTCCAAATCAGCATGTATATAATCACTGTGCGGTTTTACAGAGACAGTCCAGGCTGGGCTCGAGAAAGGGACTGCCAAATATAAAATACGAAGAGGAAATCACTGTATTATAAATTCGACTCTGCTATTTCCACAAGCAACAAACTCCCCATCTTCGGACACGATCAGAAGGCAGTTCAGTACAGTTTATATCCTGAAGATGTGTTTTATTAAGAATTATTTAATACGATTCCCCCTTCCCCCATTTAAAGTTACCGTTGCCGAACTTATTTCCTAACCAAAACTCAATGTCTGCGTGTATATAATTAATGTAGCCGTGTCTGTTGCTCCATTCCACTCATTTACTCGGTAAGCAGCTAGCTTCATGTCAGGGAAGCGCATCCCGAATTTAAAATCACGGAACAAGTTGTGAGGCAGACATGCAAGATTGCGTCGACCGGAGCCGGCAGTCTTTCCTGCTTGTCGTCCAACTCAGTTGTCATCACCAATTGTGTCTGATGTGTATGCGCAAATGGATTCACTTTATGTGGTCACAGAGTGGTTTTGAAGACGTAAGTTCTGTTGAGAAGTAGAAGAAGAACAACTACAGATGTAAGATTTGAGGTTTTCACAGCGGGGAGTATGAAGCTTTCTGTCTTCTGGGTTGTTGTGCTGTGTAGTCTGGTCCATGTTTACCAACGATATCGCCCTGATGACAGAAGCAGTATGACCTCTGAAACGATGGTAAACATCGACCAGACTACACAGCGCAACAACCCAGAAGACAAAAATCGTCATACTCATCGCCCTGATGATGGAGGCAACAAGGACCTCTGAAACGTTGGTAAACATCAACCAGACTACACAACGCAACAACCCAGAAGACAGAAAGCTTCATACTCCCCGCTGTGAAAACCTCAAATCTTACAGGTCGTATGTACGTTTGCCATTGGAGTGCGATACTTGACACACGTGCACTTTTCTTGTTTTATTCAGTAAGTAGACATTTCTTCATAAATCAGTATAACAGTTTCCTCTGTTCGCGGAAATAACAAGGGCGAAGAAAACTTCCCGACATTCCACAACATTGATTGTTGTCGTCGTTTCTTTGTTATTTCCTTGTTAGTGCAAGTTGTTATGCAAACTTACGCGTTGCAGTTGCGGTGCTTGTGGGGCCTTTGTCTCTGCCCTGCGTGTGTGAACCTGATTGTTGTCTTGCATTAGGGAGATTCTAATTCAAATTGCAGAGAGGTGACCTATTGTGCAAGTTAGCAGGGCGGGAGGGACGGCAGAGTATCCTGGGTTTTCACCTATCTGTGATAAATATAGATTAGCAAATTCAGACAGAGACAATTATTTACCCATTATTTCATACCTGTCTCAACCACCGGAAACATCACACCACTTGTAATTGAACATTAATTAATTTTAAGTGTGATATGAGGTTTTCTAGGCGGAAAGTCGGAAGAGAGGTGATTCATCACCCTGATGATGGAGGCAGCAAAGATCTTTGAAACGTTGGTAAACTTCTACTGGAGTGCACAGTGCTTAATTCCACTAATTAATTTTAATTGTTGATCAAATTACTGACGACAATTTTTTATTGTACTGTATTAACAACGGTGTTACAATTATTGTGAACGATCACTAGTTCATGCCTTGATATGAAGTTTACGTGGGAACTTTGCTACATGTTTTATATACATTAATATTGTGTTTGGAGTTGTAAATTGCTTGACGTATAATTGATATACACGAACTTTCGGGTAATGCCCATTGAATTTGACTATTGAATTAAACTTTACCAAGAGTCTGGAAAATATAGGGCGCACCTAATATCGCCTGTGTTGTT